TCTGGGTCTAGCAGAGGCCTGATTAAGAACAAAGGCTTTGGAGTCAGACCGCTGTGGTTCGGCGCCCTGAAGGCACGTACAACAGAAGGAAATGCTGCCTGTCCCAGCGCCATCCTCACCATTATAGCTGAGTTTGAGGCCACTGTTGGAAGCACTATCAGGGCCATCTACTTGTGAATCTTCCTCGTCTTCATTGACCCTTAACTTTACCAAGCATGATGTCCTTTTCCAGAGACCAGCCCTCCTGACAAAATGTCCCAAGTACTTGCAATGAACTCTCACCATCCTGTCTTCTAAGCAGCATTCTGGCTGTACCTTTTTCCAGCACAGATTGTTCATTCGGTTGTCTGGTTTATTCAGACAGACCTGAGTTCAAATCCATGGCCAGCTGTATAACCTCGACCTTGTCCTTTTGGAACTATCTTAGCTTCTTCATCCTTAAAATAGCCATGAAACTGTTGAGCAACCCAATGAGCTTTTTCACATGAGACAGAGTCTACCCCCGATGAGGTGAGATGGAGGTGGTGGTGTGCCGTGGAGTCAGTTCTGACTCATAGTAACCCTGCATAGGGTTTCCAAGGCTGTAAATCTTTATGGGAACAGAAAGCCTCATCTTTCTCCCATGGGATGGCTGGTAGATCCAAACTGCTGGCCTTGAGGTTAGCAGCCTGACTTGTGAGGTATAGACCTATGGTTCTCAAGTGGGGTACTTCTGCCCACCTCAGAGTACATTTGGAAGTGTCTGGAGATACTGTCAGCCTTGGAAAAGGGAGACGGTTCCTAGTGGGTAGAGGCCAGGGATGCTGCTAAATTTCTTACAGTGTTCAAAATTCAGAACCAAACTCGCTGCCATTGGCTCCATTCTGACTCACAGCAACCTTGCTTAGGGTTTCCAAGACTACAAACCCTTACAGGAGCAGGAAACCTCATCTTTCTCCCAGATGATGAGATTAGTAGTCTTGTGCTTATCTGACAGTACCAGCAGAGCTTCTTCAAATGCACAGGACAGCCCCAAACGGAGTGAAATAAAACCTGTTGCTCTTAAATCAATTCTACTCATAGCGACTCGATGGGACACGTAGGTTTCCAAGAATGTGATCTTTACAGAAATAGACTGCGCCATCTTCTCCCACAGAGCAACTGGTGGGTTCGAACCACTAACCTTTCACTTAGCAACTAGGAACCTTAACCACTGTGCCACCAGGATTCCTCTGTCAGGAATGATGATTGTGGCTGTTAAGTGCTAGGGAGTTAGTTCAGACTCATTACAACCCTTAAATCTTCACGGGTGCAGAGTGGTTAATAACTCTTGGTTAGATTAATGTCATCCAATAGAATCTAAGGCATGCCATGTATATAATTTAAAATTTTTTAGATTGTGGTAAAATGCTATAGGATAAACAGCAGACCACAATGTTGACTTGAACCTCAAGGTGGTTGTTCAAAACCACCAGCTGCCTCTCAGAAACCCTGGACAGGCAGGGTCACTATGTGTCAGAATTGACTCAACAGCATTTTTCAACAACAACAACAAAGATATGCACACAACCAAATATATGCCAATTCAATCATTTCTGCATGTATGAGGAGGCTTCAATAAGTTCATGTAAAAACAGAATGAAAAGAT